AAATTAAAAAATTGATACTAAAGATTACTATATTGAACATTAGTTGTTATTAAAGATAGTTTTAACAGATTAGTTGTTAACAAAGATTTCTTTCAATAAAGAAAGAAGTTTTTTCGTTTTATAGAAAAGAGTTGTCAATAATTAGCTATAATCAACTAAACGTGCAAAATAATACATTTTTACATATGGCATGTTTCAATAAGTTACATTTAAAAACTTTTAAAAATTAATGATTAGCGTGCAAATAAATAAATTTTGAATTAAATCCCATTTTGCCCTGCGTAGAAATATAAAGAGGTTAAGTAATGTTTCTACAAAAATAATAATTTCACCTTTTTTAGCTATTTCTTCGTAATAAAGCATGTGTTTCTTTTATAGTGGACATTCTAATGAATATTTTGATGCAGTATGAAGTTGATTTATTTATTTTCGTTATTTAAAACTTATTTAAACCTCACACTGTCCCCATGATATCCCCGTTATGTTTTCCTGCTTTTGCCTGAGTTTTATTGAAATTAGAATAATATATCAAAAGAAGTAAAAATAACATGCTAAGAAATAGAAACAAATTTATTTAGAAACAGCCAAGTAAATTTTCTGAGGTTTCGAAAGGACTGTGCACGATTTTTATGAAAAAAACGTTTTCAATTAATTTGCTTGAATTTGTGATACGTTACAATTCTTGTAACTTTAATAAAAAATCTCAGTAGGCAAAACCGTAGTTTGGCTAATTTCTGCATTAAAAAGACGTTTTAACGTTTAAAAGTTTTTTATAAGATCGTTATACGTTTACTTATACGAGTTTGTATTTGTGTTCCTTCTCTTACATACACATACGCGCTCGCGCGCGCGCGCGCACGCACACACACACACACACACACACGCATATATGTATATTAGGGTGGTCCTTATTTTTCGACTTTCAAATTTTTTCCGCGGCACACACCAAAAAGTTTCCACTTGACAAAAAAATCTCTGCCAAACTTTTGCTCGATCGGATGAGAACCCGTGCCCCCGTGTCGTTAAACATTAGAATACCCGTGTATTTAGCTATCTACGTTATCAATATGATTTTTAAAGCGTTTTCCACAAAAATCGTCCTAGAGGACTTTTCTTTTCTCTTTCTACATCATTTGAGATCTTATAGTCTCATTTAAACAATTAGATAAATTGTTGATAACTAAAAAATAAAAATAAATAATTATTGCATTTATTGTTGAGCTACAACAAATCATGTATGGATTATAAAAGTTGCAATAATATGTTTGGAGGACAATATAAGTGCTTTATTTATTTTATATATCTTAGCACTTTATTTTATATCTTTAAATTTTTATTTTATTTTATTTTGTTTTATATTTTTTTATTGAGTTTTTATATTTTGTAGATTTTTATTTGTGTTTTATTGTTCTCTTTTGTTTCTACTATGTCAAGTCTACTATTACTCTTGAATATAATATTGTTAAATATAATTGAGTGCTGGACTTTATAAAACATGATATCTTTCATGTTTTTATTAATAAAGAAATTTTGAAATTAAATATTACATAATAATCTCGTGGCTCCTAATTTTATACTGGGAGGGGACCATAGATGTATAATACCTAAGCCGCGGGTTCACAATGTTTCCTATTGTCTGAACGCGTTAAACAATACAAAGAAATAGCATTCTTTCGGTAAAAAGTCTGTCTCTTTCTAACAAAGGCTGTTTTATTCCCACCACTTATCGTGGTCTTATGGCGGAAATAAAGCAGCTTTCATTAGAAAGAGACAGACTTTTTACCAAAAGAATGCTATTTCTTTATATTGTTTGACGCGTTCAGACAATGAGAAACGTTACGAACCCGCGGCCTAAGTATTATACGATTTGTTTGATAAAAGAGTGTCCGGCAAAATTTTTACATATAAACAGGTAGACGGGAAATTCAAACAGGAGCCGCTAGAGGGACCTTTCGCTTAAGATGCTTTGTTGATAAAGCTTTAGTTGTCATTCGATCTTCGTGGTAAAAATAGAGTAAAGACACCAAAAGCGATATACCACTTAGTTTTTGGAGGTTACATCTTAATGTAAAGCTCAAAATATAAATGTAAATATATATACATATAGTTAGAAGTACCCTCTATCGGATAATATCATATTTATAATGAAATTGTTTCTAGATTTAACATAAAAAATGTTTTTGTAAAACGCACGAAAATGGAGTTCAAAGAAAATAGGTGTCAAAAGCGACATACCTATTGGAAGTTATATAACATGTTGCATAAATGATAATATTTGATAATAAATAGTTTATTAATGCGTTTAATGGTTGAATAATATTCACTTATTCAAAATATAATATTACAAAAGAGAAATATAGTTAAATAAAAATATATCTTTGGCATTTCCATCTTTTCATTTCTCATATATTTTACATATGTTATAATATAACATATGTCTTTATTGTTTATTTTAAAGTTTAATTTTGTTTAGTTTAAAAATATAACACTTATGTTTTTAAACTAAACAAAATTAAACTTTAAAATAAACATATGCACAATGGGAGGTTAAAATCAGATTATGTTAGTCACAGAGTATCGTACTATAGATATGTCACTTTAAGACATATTTACATAAAATTTTTCAAGATATACAGTAAAAAAGTGATGAAGATAAAAATATTTAAAAAATGTTTTTACAAAAGCCAAATGCATATAGAAGAACTTAATATTGAACAAAAAGATAATTTTCGCTGTTTAGTACGTAATTCGTTAATAAAAATCATAGAAATAAATCTTGCGAATTTCTAAAACTCTATATTTGCTAATTTAGCATACAAAAAAACAAGAAATATACCAAGTATGAATTTTTCATGACTTAACTAATAAAACGAATTACTTTTATATTAGTTTCAATAAAATACAACATTTAATATATGAAATATAGAGGTATGTCGCTTTAGGAGGCCTATGTCGCTTTTGACTACTTTCCTCTATATATTTCGCCATGAGTGCCATACACATTGCGTTTCGAAGCCGTGTTTCTTTGTACACATCCGAAAGGACCAAAAATGTCACGCCAAGTGACTGCTAAGTACATGAGAAAGTCAAAAGCATTTGTAAATAAATGGGTGAATTACTACTTAGAGATGAAAAATATCGATGACTTACCGAAATGTGGTTCTACGCAAGAATTTGGCACTTTGCATATCTTCACAAATAACTTAAACTCTAGCAGAATGGTCAAAATTTATGAGAAAGCTTTATTACTATCTGTTCAAACATGGTTTATAAGGAAAAACGAAAAATGGATATTACAAGAGGACAATGATCCTAAACATCGACGTCGCCTTTATACCGCGTGGAAATAAGAAGATAATGTTGAATTACTGGATTAGCCGTCACAGTCACCAGATGTAAATCCTATCGGAAACGTTTGGTCCTTGATGAAACTTAAATTTCGTGGAAAGAAAATTTGGTTAGTCAAGGAGTTAGTTCGATTGATATGGAGATCTTTACCTCAAGAATATGCCAAAAAATTAGTTGAAAGTATGCCTCGAATTATTTATATGCTATATAAATAATTAGCTATAATTATTAATAATGAAGGCGACTGAACAAGTTATTAATAATAAAGCATCACAGTTCTAATCAAATAGTATGTGTGTATTTTATTCCAAATTATTTCAATAAGTTATTTATCAAGTTTTGCCGTATACGCTCTTATCAAACAGACTGTATCTTCTCTATTAAAGTGAATTAGTGAATAGTCACTGATATCAGTTATAAGTATAACACTGAGCATTGAAAGTGCAACACTTATAACTGCAAATCAGTGTATATTCACTGTTTTCAGTGATGTTTCACTGATTCATTTTAAGAGAGTATAGTCCCCTTCCAGCATAAGATTAGGAGCCACGAGATTATTAATTATTATGTAATATTTAATTAAAAATGTTTCTTTAATAAGTAAAATTAGTAAGTAATAAAAACATGAAAAGTATCATGTTTTATACTTATATTGTTTCTCCAAACATACTATTGCAACTTTTATAGTCCATACATGATTTGTTGTAGCTCAAACAACAAATGCAATAACTATTTATTTTTATTTTTTAGTCATCAACAATTTATCTAATTGTTTAAATAAAACTATAAGATCTCAAACGACGTAAAAAAAAAGTCCCGCGATTTTTAGCGGGAAAGTAGCGCGATTTTTGTGAAAAACCATTGATAACGTAGACCAGAGCTCGAAACGGTTTGCCAATTTCGGCCGATTCTCGGGAGCTATACCTTCTATCTCCCCCTTGTCACGCGGCGGGCCCAAAAAGTGACGGTCGCAGCCAGTCGCAGCTTCAAGCTTAGTGGCTCGACCGTCACTTTTGTGGCCGCTCACGGCAAAGAGAAAATAGAAGACGTAGCTCCCGAGAATCGGCCGAAATTAGCAAACTGTTCCGAGTCCTGACGTAGACAGTTTAATATAGGGTATTCCAATGTTTAACGACCCGGGAGGGGTTTCGTTATCCAATCGAACTCAAACTTAGTACGAATTATTTTTTTGTTATATGGAAATTTTTTGGGTGCCGCAGAAAAAAATTTTGACCAAGAGTAAATAAGGACCACCCTAATGTACATACATATGTATAATCAAGCTTGTAACGCGGGCACTTCTAGGATTGACTGGTCAATGTGCGAAACAACTAAGTATTTCGATAGTTTTGTGTTTCAACTTTTGACTGATGAGTTTTTAGCCAATCCTAGGAGTGACTAACATGGGGGGCTAATCAAAGTTAGAAACTAAAAGAAATTACGGTAAAACTCTTGTTTATTTAAGGCATCTCTAATGATCGTGTCTTTATATTGCAAATATGTTAATAAGGATCATTCTGAATAATTTTTGATAGGTTTTGGGTTTTTGCTCATTGTGTAAGAAATTTTATAAATAAAACGTAATTCTTCGATATCGTATGTATTTAATAAGTGTCAAAATGTTCAATAGAGCAATATTATGCTATGAGGGACCTCGTCTCCCGCTCCATTCAAAATCTAACTTAATCCTACCCTACAGTGTTGTGAAAATATTGGTTGTTAAAATGTACGTGCATAAATATACATTTTTTAACAATTATCACGATACTATAAGGTAGGTTAAATTTTAGCGAAGCTCCTCATCCCACTAAAAATATTATACATAACTTTTTAATTTCTTTAGTTTTAACACATTCATATTTTTTAGTTTCTAACTTTGACTAGGCATGTTGGTAATTCCTATGGTTAACTAAACACATCTCAGTCATATTTGTATAGTCAATCATACAAAAATTAGTTGTCTAACATAAAAAATAGTTATTTCGAAATATTGAAAAAAATGTGCTCTCTCTGGTCTTAGTCTCTGCTATAAATAATAATAGAAAAACTATAATTTATATACAAATAGTACATATAAATCGTAAATCATTCGTTCATATTTTCAAGATTTTATCAATAGTCACACACACACACACACACACACACACACACACACAAAGAAAGAGAGAGAGAGGGAGAGATAAAAAGAAAAATAAATAAATAGATAAAATTATAAATGAAGGATATTATTTGGTACTTTTATTTCATGCTAACGTAAGTTTTATTTTCTATTGACTATTATGAAGATCAATAATTGTTTTTTTGCTTTAAGTAAAAAATATAATTAATGCCGAATAGACATATAACTTTATTTTACATGTAATTCTATTAACAATCTCTATTAAATATTTTCAGTTGAGTCTTCTCCTAGTCGTTCTACTATTCAGTTTTGCCAATGCGGGTGGACACGGAGGACAGTAAGTTCGAATTAAACTCACTACTAATAATCTCAAGATTATTTCGAGTGTATTGATAGAAACAAATAACGCATCTACCTGCATTAAAAAAAAATGTAAATAAAACAAAATCAGATAGAATTAAATCTCTGTGTTGAATAAAATTGCATCCATTGCAGTCGAGTAAAATTGAATAAAAATTAAACCTGCTCAACAATTTGAAGTAGGAATTTTAATTCAAAATAAAATATGAATAGAATTTAAACGTATTATATATTCGTAGTTATGCGGACACTATAAATGTTCATTTAATTACAAAAAATAATCCAATTTATATGGATTTATATGAATAACTTTTCTTCTGAACAGAAATAAATCAGATAAATAAGTATATTGAACGAATAACTTTAATAACATAATTCAACAAAAAAGCAAACAAAAACACCAGAACGAAATTATTAATTTCTTGTAGCTTTTAGAAGGTGAATACAAATGCGGTTTCCAAATTATCTTATCACGTCGCAATTTTGAGAAATTTATATATAAGTTATTTAAAATACTTTCAATTTAAGAAATTCATCTCAATTTAGATATCAAATTTGTATTAAATAGTGTAAAAAAGTCCATGACTTTTTATTAAAATGCAAACATAATTTAATTTTCATCCGTTATACTAATTCCAGCATTTTAAATTTATCTATTTTGATATTAGTCTTCAGTATCATGCAAGACCTCCATATATAATTTTTTTCAGCAATCCAGACACTTTTTAAGTTTTGACAACCATCATTTTGAATCCACCGTTTTAAATGTGTCAATTTTTACATCAGATTTGTATTCAACGATCTAAGAATCTATTAAATTTAAATAAATAGATATAATTGAATTTAAATAAATAGACATATTTGATAAATCGTCAACAATCTAATTCACAATATAAACTCTATATTTAAATATACCCTTATATATCCTATATTATAAACCCTATTAACCATAGTCATATTATAAACTTTATTAACCATAGTCAACACAAAAATTCTTTTGAAACAAAAAATTCTAATATATTTAATTTTGAATAAAACTTCTCCAGTAAGCGCGCGCGTGCGTCACATATCGTAATTATAATATGACAAAATATGTGAAAATAGCCTTATTTTACAGTTTTAATTGCAAATTGGTCAAAACTGTGAAGTAATGAATGTAATTTATAAACCGAATTCGTACTCAACGCGCAAAAAACTGTAAAGAATAATTAATCCCCACCTCCTCGTTCTGATATCCAAAAAAGAAATAATTTTTTGTTGAATTGTATAGTTGAACATTTGTGAAATTTATTCAACTAGAAGAAATCACTCTTATAGTTGTAATGAAAAACAAAAAGATGATAAAAAAGGCTTTTATATGTGTATATATATTGTATATATATATACAGGGTGTCCCGAAGTCCCATGATGACCTTTGGTGAGAACGTAAAACGGATTGAAGTGAGCAAGAAAGTCCTGTGCCGTTTTGCGATATTCGCAATAGTTTTTGAGAAATTAATTATTTTGTCTCAACAAATCAGCGTACAGAAAGCGGCAGCGGAAAGAAAGATGCCTTCGGCCGACGTGCGACCGTGACACTCGCGAATCGTATCTCGCCGCATCCCTCCGCCCATAGCTACGAGACATAGCGAGTCTATGTCTCGTAGCTATGGGCGGAGGGATGCGGCGAGATA